CCATGGAAGATCTCAGTACTTTAGCAGCTCACTGCCTCACAGCATCAAATAGTTATGTAGATTGTGGTGCAAAATACAGATTAATATTAAGACATTAAATAAAACTGATACAAGGTAAAACTACACATAGCGCAGACCTCCATTTTTTAATTCATTTTAGCTTTTAGACTAAAGATGCCCTGTCCAAATTCCCCCTTCTTTCATTTCTTCCCTCTCTCCCACCTCAAAATAATATGGAGTCTTTATAAAAACAGTAATAATTCTGTCCCACACCTGCAGAGTGCACCTTTTTGCTGGGCTCACCCATTTCTCCACCCATTATAATACACAATTCCTTTAAGGCCTAAAAAAAAAAAAAAATCAGCCTTTGAATGTCAACATTTTCTACTAATACAGCCATTTTTATGACAGGAGACTCTGTGAGGCCATATACACTTTTAACTCATTTCTGTGTAAAGCTTTGGGTTCTGAATCTATATATACAACTGCAAAACCTCAAAGTCAAAAGCAAAACCATGAAAACAGCAGCCCAGTTAGTAAAGAATGAAGTTTTAAAGTTAGGTCCCCTCCTTCCGTCTGCAGCCCTGATTACTCTGTAAACGCGTATCTTTGGGTCGCATCCCTTCGCCTACCAAAAGCAGCGGAGATGCTTCCTTTCTAGTCCAGGAGCTGAAGAGGTTGTACTGGGACTAGACATTTTAAAGCTCCTTCTGACCAGCTGCATCACTCCAGATAACCACTTTCCCAGTCACGTTCCAGAAACGTTGAACAACAGTACCTGAAAGTCAACTGGCTCAGCTCAAGACCTCTTGGTACAAAGCTGCTGCCTTGCACTGCTAGACAGACACGGCTTTCAGGCAATAATTAATGTTTTGAGCCTGGACATTTTATACAATCATCTAACATACATATAGACCTGCTTTTCAGTCAAAAAAGGCTGAATTACTCTCTAGCTCTTGGTTTCTGTTGTACTGCTTTATCATCAGAAAACATCAGTTCTTTAACGCTGATTTCATTAATGCTGTGGTTTGAGTTTTGCTACTTTGGAGAATCTGCTTTTTCATACCACAGTCAGTCCAGTTCTTCAATTTCTTCCGTTTCAACCATTTTTTACCTTCTTCTGATTGCCTGCCGTTGCCTTCCACAGTCAGTCGCATCATGAGAAGCCTCACACTTTCATTATTCAGTGGACAAGTTAACAGATTACTCACTTTTTTCCCTATACCGTCGTAGCTTCCTCAGGAGTAAACTGGCATTGTAAAGAAAGGCAGCAGGGAGAGGGATGATTCGTTTTGCCTTCAGCTTGCTGCCATTGCTATTCAAAGCTTATAAGGAGTAAGAGTTTAAATAAAACAAACCAACTTTGAGTAGTCCAGGGATGTAACAACTGGAGTTTCAAGATGGATTTTTAAGATTCAGAAACACGCTTGAAAAGTGAAGGCCCGACAGGAGTAACTTCTAAAGCTAGAGCCTGACCTCTAGGTGGTGCTGGCATCCTGTCAGTCCGTGAGGTGAAGGCATATGCCAGGTCATCACGCTGTATTCTGGACCATTCCCCTTTACCTTCGGGCAGGTGGGCTGCAGATGGAGCGGTTACAAGTCCTGTACATTCCCTTCCTGTAGCACGGTGGGTTTCAATCTTTAACCACAAAGAGTAACTCAATTCCCTCCTCAGTAACGGGGCAACAGCAAGCAGGTGGCGAATGAAAACACGCAAGGCAGCACGCAGTAAGCCAGAGCATCCGAGTCGTTTCAGCGACCGCAGTTCAGGTCTCAGCGGGCTGTGAAAGGTAACCAAGATTTTCGTGAAAACAGAGGATAAAAAAGTAGAAAGCTGAACAGCAGAGACGCACGTGGTAAGACAGATGAGCTAGAAATGGTATTTTCAGCCCCTTTAAATGAGTCCGAGTTGCAGCCAGCAGTTACAGTTACCGCTAGGAAGCTGTTCTGCAGTACGGCGGTACCTCAGCGGGTGTACCGAGGACCTTACTGAAACACCAGCTCCACCGCGCTGCCAGCAAGCTGCTTTTGGGACGTACTGGTGGTGTGATAAAGCTGAAAATAGTTTAAATGGAGATGGGCTCCCAAAGGTACAGTTATACACACACTTCATACCAACTCTGGCCAGTGGTGCAACTGGTTAGAATGGAAGCTTCACGACACCCAGTGCAGAGACTCCTCTAGAAGTCGTATGTCGGAGCAGAACGTTGGGGGCGGTGCCGTGCACACGTTGGTACGAGTGGAAGTGCGGATGTACACGTACCTGGGGTAATTCGGAGTCAGGAGCTGTTCCAGTCAAACTGGGATGTGGGTAACTGTGTACAGCCTATATAAAATGTCTTCATCACTGTTCTTTATCTGCAGCCGGCGTGCTGCTGAGGCGGACCGGTGGAGCTGCCCCTGCTCGAAAGGGAACCGGAGAGATGCAGTCGCTGCAGTGTGATGGTACCGTACTGGCTGCTGGACAGTGAGGTGCTTCCAGGTGTCAGGTGCCGTTAGTTCAAGAAAGCATTTTTGAGGGAGAACCCTCCCTATGCAACGGTATAAAGCCAGAAGAATGCACCTTACAGTTTGTTCTCCTGGGGTGGCTTTTTTTCCCCCTTTCAGACAGTGCCTGAGTGTCTCCAAACGGTTCACTTGACATGACTATGCATCATCTCTTCCTTCCCAGTGATGCAAAAGAAACCTGATCGATTTCCCTTGCATAAGGTGTAACAATTCCACAGAAGGAACCGAGAACAGTCAAAGAAAAACAGCTCATTCTGTTCAATTTCTTTCTCCGCCTACAAAGCCCGGCTAGATTTGAAGAATTAAAAAGACGTTATAGCTGGATAAAAGATAATCTGACCTCTTATATGCTAAAAAGGAACATATTGTTCTGATAAAACATTTAACATGGTGCAAGGAAACTCAGGCAGATGTTATTTTAAGTTACCCAAACTGATTTATTGACAATTTAAATGTGACATATTTACAGCACTGTCTCTAAAATAATTTAACAATTTTCATAGATTTATAAAAGTACTGATAAATAGGAGACCCTGACAATTACCAACCACAAATATTTCCCTATGCTACCGAACTACAACAGTAGTTCTTTTCTTTTTTTCTTTTTTCTTTTTCTTCCTCTTTTTGTAAGTCCCATAATGGAGCTGCTTTACCTCCACCCAATGTGTAAAATTGCCAATACCAAAATATAATAAAATGAACATGCAGTGTGAAAGCTGTACCAGAGCAAGTGATTTCAGATGTTAGACTACAGTAAAAATATTTCAATGCAGTGTCTTCCACACAGAATGTACTTGTGAAAAAATAAGCTTTTAAAGAGCTATTGTTTTATCTTTATAGAAGTTAAACCTACAATACTAGTACAGACATTTACAGAAACTTCCAATTCTGTGGTAGTTTTCACATATACCTAAAGAGTCAAACAAAACCAGTAATTTACAAACACCGCTGCCTTCAGACAGTGGTTAGTTAGCTTATGGATAAAAAAAAAAGAAGGTGCTGATATAATTTAAGGTTTTGAAATTAGATTATATTTCATTCTTATAGGACACAAATTATTCTACCCTTGGATCAACGAATTATTGTGGTAAAACCATCCATATCTCTCAAGCAGGAAGTCAGTTTGGAAGTTGGAGAGAAGATGGACTCGGGTGATATGTATCTTAGGTTCCAGTATCACGAAGCTGGACAATCTGAATCACAGTAAGCAGCAGCATGAGATATTTGCGGGGTTTTGATTAAAGCAAACGTTTTTCAAAACCGATGAAAAGTACACACTCAATCTAATCCAATGCTTGAAATGTAAAGGTTCTTCTCATTCGCATCACTGACACCCCATAACAGTGTACACAAATATTCATCTTCTTTAAAAACACATATTGCACAGCTAGTAGGTGCAATACCAGAACACTGGTATCCCCAGCACAAGTCTTCTATTTTAAAAAGCTGTTTCCAACTATGCCATTCAGGACAACTCTAAGCCAACGTTCAAAACCATCAAGAACGGTTTGTGTACATACCTAAGCCAAAAGTGTTTCCACAATGAGAGAAAGAACACAGGCACTTCAGATTATTAGTGCACAAAGAGTTACAGGCCACAATTGCAAGACCACGAACAGTTCAGTACCAATAAGGACAAAACTAGGTGAGGAGATCTTCCACGGATCAAATCTAGACACGAGAACTGTTCACAAAGCACTGATAAGAAAACCATTCTCAAAACAGTCAAACGATACATTTAGACACTGAAGGAAAATAATTGCTGCAAAGCCTAATGTAACACAGTATCAACCCTACTTGGTTCAAAAGATCTGAAGCCCAAATTCAAAAATCCAAATTTCTCTTCTCCCCCCTCCAAAACACCATTGCATGCAGTCCATTAAAATCCAAATGTGCAAAAAGTTACAGGAGTGCATCAAAAATAGGCTGACTATTCAAAATATTATTTTAGTGGAAATTTTACAGCACCATAATTAGAATTCCAAGGGAGTTCAGAATTCTTGTTCTGGTTAGCGAATCTGTTGACACTGTGGATCCTAAAGAACAGAAGAAATATTTTGTGCATTTCCTGGTATCGGAAAGTCAGAGAGAGAAACAATTCTCACTATGCCTAATACCTTCCTGTAGTTCAAAATGAAATTAAATAATCACGTTTGTTGGCAGTAAGTTCGCCACAATACAGCACTAGTTGCTATATTGTGGAGGAATTTAGAAAGTTTACCAAGTTTGCCAGATTAGGAATTAAAAGTTGCTGGTACCTTGATTACCTGCAGAACTACTTATTTGGTTTTGTTTTGGTTTTTTTTTTTTCATTTTAATTTGTGCAGTTTGGCCCCTCCCTAGTAAGTGATTTACTATCAGGCTTTGAGAAAACGCATAAGGTCCATTTCTGACCCTCAGCTGAAAGGCAATATACAAACACATTATATATACACACGTGTGTACAGCGACACACACGTACATATATATCCATATAAAAATCAGTGTTCCGGTTTTTTGTTCTCATTTCCTGTAATTTTCTTTGGTTAAAAGTCCGAGCAAGGAAATTAGAGGACCGAACAAATGGATCATTCTCCAAACACTTCCACCACTACACATCACTAACTGGAAGGCTTGCATCATCCAGATCCACGAGGCCAGGATCCTGTTCCTGAGTGCCATTTTTACTTTGGGGTTCCGAGAGGCCCCGTTCAGTCACTTTGGAAGCTGATTCTCTTGGAGCGACAACCTGGATCTTGAAGCTCCCTGGCTTGGCCTTGGTAAAAGATTCGTGAAATCCTCGCTTCTCCAAGGCAGGGTATTTGGCGTGAGGGTTTGGGACCAGAGGGCTGCCGTGAGCGGCTGTGGAATGTGAGGTGGCTGGGGCTGGGAGGGCAGAACGGAGAGCATGGTTGGGTTCGGTAGAAGACTCGGGATGCTCCTGGAAAAGAAGAGCACGCGTCAGATGAAGTCAGCGACGTCACATTGGAAAGAGACACAGTTTCAGATTTCACTCTCGGGGGAAAAAAAAAAAAAACCAGACAGAAAACACACAAAGCGAAGCATCAGCCACAGCAGCAGGAGGCAGGTGCTTTCTCACAGCAGCGTATCATTAAATGTGAGCTTACAGCAGTATGTGACAGCAACAGCAGCTTCTTCATTTGAAGAAATTAAATGTCTCAAATCAAGCTCAGCAGCTCTTTAGACTTTATAATATAGCCCAGCAAATTGAGGCTTCTCATTTTACTAAGATGTTAAGGAACCTTTTGAAGGGACACACTTTAAAGGCCATTGAAAGTGACACCTTTCCAAGAGAAAAATGTATTCAAACGTTCATATAGATCAGGCACTCATATCCTAAATCCTGAAGTAATGCACATGTTACTGTTCCCTCTTCTCGGGGAACCACTCTCCCCAATTTGTTCCAGGGACCAAACGAAAAATAGTAACTATTTTATGCTATCAAGACTGTGTAATGATTTTTAAAGTTAATGGACCTAGAGAAGAAGCTGATCTTTAAGCTATCCTTTTTAATTGTCAAGCTATTTTCTTGTGTTTATTACCAACTGCCATTCTGTTGACCTTTACATAACCCTATTAGACTGACACTGTGAAAATAATCTTCCACCATTTACTTACTGATAGACACAACTTCCCAGACTACCTAGGAATGATTTAGATGTCTAAAGCACAGGCACAGAGTGCCATTTTAGAAGTCCTAGCAAATCCTGCCTGACCTACAGCTGCATCTGCAGAACAAACCACTCCTCAGATTCTGCATCGTTACCTATGGGTTCTGTAAGGACGTCTCCAGTGCCTCGGGATATCTAAACCAGCACTGGATCCAGTGTTAAATGGTATGATCAAAATGACATGAGTACTTCCCCCTGCATGCACTAGGAAGCTCAGCTGCTGCCACTTCTGCCCTCAGCAGTATTAGTACATGAACTAAAGGAGTCTGCGAACCCACAAATCACAGCGCATCTCAAGCACCTTTATTAGCCCAAAAAACCCACCACAGATGTGTGTCCAAGATGCAAATAGACATCCCAAACGAAATACTTTTTTTTTTTTATAGCAGTTTTCCAAGTTCCTTTTAGAATGCTCTGACATGAATTCATAAATTTAATCATCATGGATCCTGCCAAGTACTATGGTGTGGTTTTATAAATTAACTAATATCACTGTGTGAAGGAGCTGAGGAACTTTTTTTGGACTTCGGTTGTGTTCAATTTCAGTGAAGTATTTCACATTATTTACATCGCCTTATTTCATACCTGACTTGATATTCCGCTTCAAGAAAAACATTTGCTTTAGGAGAACATACGATTCAGTGATTTACACGCTGTTCTTAATAACAACTTTAGTTCAACAAATAGGACAAAAGTAAGGGGTATTAGGATAAGTTCTCTGTAATAAACTCTTTGCTAAATTGAACTGAAGGACACTCAGATCTTACTACCCACACAGACTTTTAATTTCACAGTTAAGAGGCTATGCTGCCGCATCACTCCCGAGGTGCACCGCTTTGAGCAGCGCACTGATGACACGTTATAACGCTTCTACGGTTGAACTAAGAATTTCATGCAGAGACTTAAGCCATGCAAATCAGGCTACAACGTTATCCCTCCAATCTCGAGTTACGACGTGCGTTTTCTGTGTGCACGCATCTGTATTAGTTTGTGGGTAGCTGAAATTTAATTTTGCCTTTTGCGCAGTTTCAAAAAAAATGTAAAGTAAAATGGAAATATGAACTCTCATGCAAATTAGTTTCAATACTTTCCTATTACAGTTGACATCACATAACTTATGTTTAAATACATAGTGTGCTTTGAAGTATAAGTACATGTTTTTGCCATTTTTAATTTCCAATTATTTTAAAAGTAAGAAAAAACAGTGCAAACCTGTAAGTGAATGATATAATTTATGCGTTAGTTTTCAGTAATGGTAATGACAACAGGTAGCATTATTTTTAGTTTTTTTATAGTGCAAATTAGTCTCTAGTCCCAGCCCTCTGTTAAGAAGGCAAGTTTACATGAGAGCCCACATACGTGCTGCATTCACCAGTTCTTGATGTATACCTCTGTATACAAGGATTCGACAGCCTTCTGGCCTGCCGCATCTGGAACACAGTGCAAAGCTAAGATTAGAGTAACCTATACTTGGGGAAAGAAGAGAAGAGAGGGAAAAAGAAAGAAGTGATGCAGACAGTAATAGCTAGGTTGCTCAGTTAGCCCCACAAAAATAAAGAGCATATACAAAGAAAAGTTATCTGCATATTTTCATTCCCCCAAAAAGAAAGAAAATTTATGATAGGAAGTTTTATTTAAAAGCACGAAGCAGCTCCCAGCTCCAGAAAATAATTGAGAGCTCAGACTGAATCAACAGAAACACAGTATCAATGCAAATGTGTAGACAACAGCCAAATTTAAATGATTAGATTCAGATTATGGGGGTAATGATATATTCAGCTTATTACAAAACATCCCGTAGCCAGAAAGTGAAAACCACAGCTTGCAACACCTGAACTGTAAGGTATTCCAGTTGTTAAATCCGGACATACTTGGAGACGCTGTGACACTGCAGTAACCTTCACTTTTCACAAGTTAATGTACTTTGTTCATCTTTCTTCGTACTGAACATCTTACACAGTTTAAACGCAAGCATGTATGAAATGTTGGCAACCACAAGGCTTCACAAACATTAAGATTTGTCACAGCGCCTCAGTTCGGTAATGCTAGATGGTGTTCACGCTATGTTTTCAAGAGCAAAAGCTAATTCATGCGAGCAGAGATCTCCTGGAGAAGTTAGGTTAAATTTGAATCTGTATCTGCATATACAATAACCTGTCAACCACAGAGAATGACGATTTAGTAGTGAGAACTGTTAAAACCAAATGAGGATATCGTCATTTGACTGCAAAATGGAGCAATTCGCAGAAACACCTCACAGGAATCAGAAAGTTTCAATTTTACTTCCAAACTAGTAGTAGCAGTAGCAACAAAGATCACACTGAACTCTGAATTCTTCTAGGTTAACACTTGCATTATCTATGTGCTCAGGGAAACACAACACACAAAGTTACACAGATGTAAGACTAAGATAAGAGCTCAATCAGAAAATACGAAATATTTTATGCCCGTCTGTATGAAAGTTCATGCAAAGATGCTACAGGACAGGATAGAGGACAGGCGAAAGTGAAAAACAACTAGAACTTCACGTGCACAAGCAAACATCAATTAATCACATTTTCTCTGAAGGTCAGAGTAACATACGGAAGCAGCCGATCTTCCAGGTCCCCGCTGTGCTACAATGGCCCCAGAAATCGCTTTTATCCAACTGTGCATGTCTTCCGGGCTGTCCGCCTGGACAAAACAACACCAATTGTATTTAACACCATCAGCTCTCAACTTCCCCAGTGTCCTGAGCATCTGCATTCAAGTGACAGCCTCACCCTGCTTTAGTAACCTGTTAAAGCCCGACGGACTCCTACTTAACCCAGACGTTTCTTTAAATCCTACCCTGAATTTACTATTATATGTATATAGTCATATAAAATAGTAAGAAGGAAATAAGTATTTTTATACTATCTGCATACTCTAGACTCAAATTTTTACATTCAGCAAAGAAAAAAAATAATCAAAGCACCCGCAGAAATTCCCACAGGAGATCTGCTGACCCCTCTTAGCAGCCATCGGCCAGTGACAAAACTTCTGTACTTTTCAGTCACTGTTGCACTTCACTGCTATGAGGTATTTCCTGAAGAGTTACAGTCAAGTCAGGAATCAGCTGTACCTTTCCTTAGAACAACAATCCAACAAAGATGCAAACGGATGAACAGTGAATACCAAGGGTGTGTATATCGGATAAAGACAGATAAAAAGCTAAAGCTGTCTCCTCATTAGGTTGCAGCATCGTTAAACTAGCACATCCACCCAGCAAGGAACATCTGCAACATGTCAATTATGGTCAGCTACAGGACAGCTCATAGCTCAGCACCTGGGCCCCACTGCCTGTGTTAGACTATATGGGCCCTTCTGATCCTGCAAGAGAAACTCGAAATTATTTCCAGTACTGTAAGCACCACATGCCCACAGAGCTAGGAAAAGCAAGTATTTGTGATTTGTATCATATCCAGACATTTAGAAGGTGACATGGTAAGGCTGCAGGGAATAAAGTGCATATGGATACGTATTACCACATCGATACTGAAATGCAAATGCTGCTGTGCTTTAGTAGATATTTTAAGGTGGCAACTAACTTGAACCCAAGTACTCAATTACTATACATAAAAATCCAGTACTTCAAAATAAAAGATTTAAAATATTGAGTTGATCCTACAGAATTTGAAGACCCAAATACCAACAAAATCACATTAGGATTTATTGTTAATGCTTTCCTACACTACCAATAGAACAGTTGCTGTTATGTGGAATATTTCTTACATGCATCTTGCTGAAACAGGATGAAGACCACATTCCCTCTGAAACTCATGGCACAGTTAAACACAACTTAAAAAACAAAACAGCAGTGGTGCTTTGCTTTGACTATGGCAGTCTCCCTGTTTTGTCCAAGTTTAAAAAAGAAATTACCTGTACATAAAAGGTTCGAGAAGTTGTTACAATTTCAAAGAGATTGTCTCTCATCATTATATCACTGCAAATGAAACAAAAAATACCTCAATAGCAAGTACAACTGTATTTTAAAAAGACTGCAGGATGTGCAGAGAACCAGAGCATTTGTCATCTTGAGACCCTTTCATTTCTTTATCACTCTACTGTTGGTTTTTTGGTAAATATCAAGTAGAAAAAGAAAACCAGTATCTCTTACTCATTTTAGACCTAAGACTCCTTAGTTTATCAGTGTCATGTGTGTGCTACTATATGTATTTTTAATTGGAACATTCTAAACCATATCATGTTGAGTTAAAAATATTTATTGTTCTAGTCAAATTTCTGTAAAATTTCACATTTATATGGTTATGTCTTTGCAAAGGTTTAATCCTAAGCATCAGCCTGCTAAAAAACCCAAACCTACTACAAAGGCAATTAATTCCTTACTATATTGCCATTTGGTGGGAGGGAAACAGCAGGAGGAAGAGTGTTCTCATCTAAATTCAGACATTTAACATCAGGTAGTGTCCTCTAAAGGCTTAGAGGTTATATAAGCAGAATCGAGACTCCCAAAATTGCTGCCTCAAGTCAGCACCCATGCATCTCTGACTCACGACTGCATGATACTCCTTTGTTCCACCCTTGCCCAATGCATTTGTACTCTACTGAATGTTAGAAGTTTGAAACACAGAGTAACGAAGAACCTTCAAAACCAGCGTTATGCACAAAACTACTTGCTGTACTGCAAGCAAAGTGTCACACACGTGTACATCGACCCAAGTTATTGAAAAGTTCTCCATTGTTTCCAGCGAGCAGCCTCTCCATGACAAAGCAGCGCGCTACATCGCACGGAGCCACATCAGCACTTCTCTCCTCACCTTTGTTTGCATTCCTGAACTTTATGGCCACGGAGCCACATCAGCACTTCTCACCTTTGTTTGCATTCCTGAACTTTATGGACCTCCTTAAGTGGTATAACCCTGAGAGGTTCCTTTTCCTGAAAAAGGGAAAAAAGAAAAAGGCAAAAATCTTTCAGTCGAGTATATCTAACAACTGGAACACAGTGAAAAAGGCGGAGGTCAGAACAGTTGACAGCAGCAAACGACACTTTCAAGGCACTTATGCAAAAAGCCACGTCGACCAAAATTTAATTTACTTTTGTAATATTAAACCAACCATGGCACTTGCAATGAAGAGGAGGTGAAATCAAGAAGTATTAAAAACCCCCCAAAACATTCATTCCCCTTACCATAACGGAGACAACCACCCTGTCCCCTTCCCCTACACTAGATCAGAAAATCCAATCTGGCCTCAAGCAGCTTATTTCAATAAAACTGTGATTATATTAATTTGCTATGAAATGCTACAATACGAGATGCTTTGTTAATTGTACTGCGTGACATGGCTTTAAATAAGACTAACCGTCTCCTATACTCAATACAATTAAAAATAACACAAACAAGTGATTTGTCCCAAAACCTGTAAGACAGCAAGTATTCTTAAAGCATATGAAAATTCTGTTACCATGTGACAATTCTGTCAAAGTCTCACACAACAGGAAAAAAGTGAGAATACTCAAACAGAAATACTTTCACTTTTGCCATGACAACATCATGTCATACATACTATTATTTTCCCACGGTTGTTGCAGTAAAACAACCAACCAACAACTTATTTTACCTCTTAATGTGTTTTCTTTAAGCAATGGACACTTCAGCTGGCTTCAGCTTACAGACAACCCAAAAGCTGTCAGCTCTGGAATGACTAGTTTCTCTACAATGTCTATTACATACACTTAAGAGATTTATGTTCTTACAGCAAACAGCCAACCTCACCCAAATATAACCATCCTCAAATGTCAGTTTTCATTAGATCACTTGTCCCTGAAGCAGATCAAATGTAGAGAGTTTAAACTCAACATTTTCAATTATTTTGCACCTCTTTACCCTTCCCTACTCTTCCTAGGTACACTCATCCACTCCAACAAAGTTTTCAAAGTAATACATCAAGTGTGAACTGCAAGATCATGCCTGGAACACAGACACCCATTGTGAGGAAGACCTCAGCTCAGAAGTTATAATTTTCCGAGTCTGATATTGCCTGTATTCCACCTGAAGACTGACACAGGCTCTTCCTCAAACTGAAAGAGTCAATCATTAAGCAGGGAAGGGAAAGACACCAAACGACCACAACAAAAAATTCCCCAGAATCTATACATTTTTCAATTTAAAAAACCCCCACACACAACATTTTTGACATTTTTGAGAGCAGAGAACTCGTATTTCCACAAATGCAAAACAACAGCACCTCAAGATATCCAGCAAGAGTAATCTGAAGTACTGGTGAGAGGCTGGCTGTCAGGAAAGAGCCATACTTGACTGAAGACTGCAGCTATTGGGAATTGAAGTCTAATAGAAAGAAGTTTTCCAGAACTAGAAGTCTGATGCTACGCTAGCTGAATACAACCTCCATGCCGTAACCTTCTTAACCACAACAGGATGACAAACAATCACTATTGAACTTTTTTTCCTATCTTTGTATCGCTCTCCTTAGGAACAGGAGATTATTAGGGAAACAGACGCCATACATCACTGAAAGAAGCCATTCACCACTTGAAATCTTCAGAACAGGGCACTTTATCTCCTACAAACACAAAAAAGGGTAAATAAAAGTCTCATGGACGTATGGTTACGTTGTTGCAGGTTTCTTCTTGGCTGTGCCCTGGAAAGTTTTGCTGTTTCCAGTACTGATTAACTGTCTCTCCAACATGTATGTTTCAGACAAGGCAGATCCTAATTGCTAAAAAACTATATGGAACATGATTTAGGTTTCCTAATAATGGAATTCTTTGATTAACCACTATAGTCCAATAAAAGGAAATTATGTTCTCTATCTATTCAGGATGTATTTCTCTGAAAAGAAGAGGGATGACTCTCTAAAAATGGAAACCCCCCTAATTTCAGTAAAAATTGTGAAGCAGGATCTGCCCTGTTGTCTGACAGCTGGTCAGTGCAGTACCTTCCCCAAACTGCAGCAAGGAGATATTAGTCTGAAGAACAGAGGACACTACAAGATTTTATATTGTCCAAAACAGTTAAACTGGAAAGGAGTATGATGAAACACTGAAACCGTAAGCATTTCTACCAGCCTTCTAGTATACTCACACTACAATTCTTCATTGAGTTAGAAGTTGCTTGTGAGTAATCTGCACTCAGATACTTTTTTTAATAAAAATAGTGGGGTTTATAGGCAATGAGTCAGAATTGTGTTATGCTGACAGCTTAACAAAGACAACGATGCAAGATCAAACTCCTACTGTTGTATACTCCCTCATTAAAAGTAAAGCAAAAGTTCTCTTCAGAAACAGCCTGAAATTTGGGTTCTTAGCGTTTTACATCTTACAGTTGGCCTGTAAGCTCAATTTTCCTTGATTTATAATACTCTACAACTCAGACTTCATTCCTTAGGAACAGATTTTTCTAGTGTTTAGTAAGTGTGAGATTCCTTTCTGGGGAAAACAGACTGTCTCCAGTACCAGCTACTTCATGTTTAAATGAAGCCTGAAGGCACTTAACATTTGGTCAGAACTGGTCAAAAGGTTCAAGAGCCATGAGTGGGGAAGAAAGATCATGAAACCAAAACAAACTCTGTGAGCATTGCATCTGGGCTGCCCTGGTCAAAGAAGTGTGTGGGAAAAGATCCCATCACTTGTGGGATAAACACCCCATAATCCTAACTTTAAATTAAGAATGGCAAGATTGCAGTTTTGCCTCTCCACACAGTGATCAGCTGTTTCAAGAACACAATTAATTATACAGTGACATAAGAGACTAATACAAAAATCGTGGTGATCGTAGAATATACCCTATTACTGTTCTTCAGTGCCCTCCAGACAGGTTCCCAAACGGAAGACTGAAATCAGAGTTAACAGCCACCCCATTAATTTTTTGTTCTTTCCAATCATGAAAAGTTATTACAGTACAGAGCTAAGAGCTGCAGGAGAAACATAGCACATTTTTCAAATACAAGCGTGTTTCTTTAGATTTTCTTGGAACTATCACTGGAAAATAACACACATTTAGAAACTTACCAGTTCAGACTTGAAATATCCTATTGTGTTTTCATCTAACTGGAAGTATCTTCTCTTCCAGTTCTTCATCTGTTAAAGGAAAAGAAATATATAAATATTTTATAAATAAAAATACAAATAAATTTACATGTTATGTATTTTTCATATATTTATCTATTTAAATATAGCTATAATTCTAGTTTATATTTACAATAGATATTATGTGATTCTCATTTATTTATAAGTAATAATCTATAACCTTTATAAATAAATACATGTCATTGTAAAAACTGTGTTGTGTGCATTTTTTTTTATACACAGTGCATGTTATATACATATATGTATGTAGTGCTCCCAGAGAAATTCTGCAAGGCTCTGCCCAATTAATTTCTCCCACCACCCCCAACTGCAAATACTAAAAGTTCTGGTAGCTACTGTTTTCTATAAGAGTGTTTCAACAACAATCTCCCCTGAAACTGTAGCAACTCAGTAGCACAAACACCCTGCAAGAAATGCTAAAAGACAATACACTAAAGATTTCTAGTTTATTTTTAACTGAAAAAAAGGGAATGTTACAAAAAGAAACTTCATAATCCAAGATAAAAATGAGCCTGAGGATCATGAAGCACGCACATCTTGCTTCATCTGAACAACCTGTTCCTGCTTTTAGCAAGGCACCACGTGAATAGCTCCAGTTGTGTTAACAAGTTGTACAATTCCTCCTCCAAACTGAAAAACTAGCTTTTTCTAAAGATTTCAGTGATTTAAAAAGCATGCAGACATTGAACTTCGGCCTTAACTTAAATGCTTCTAATAAGCAAAATAAGGATCTCCACATAACGGTAGAACAGGAGAATTCCTAGTTGCATGCGCTAACCGTGACGTCAAGGTCTCTCTGCACACAACTTTTCCTCTCCAAAAACATCTCCAACATCATAACACTGAAGAAAGCAATGAAAAGACGTAATACAGACATAAATTACATGCTACTGGAGGACAAGTTTTATCTTTAGACGCCCCAATGTTGTCAGCAGTGCTAAAGTTACTGGTAATTATGTCTTTAAACCACCTACTTGTTCCCACCTTAGGACCTTTGCTCTTGAATAATGAAACACACTGATCTCAAACACTTACCACTGCTCCTTGTTTTACACAGTAGCCAGCTTTGATAATAGCATTATCTGGGGTATGCTTAGCAGTAAAATAAGGAAGGTGACTTTGTGACCGTTTCAAGTAATTCCTGTCAACCCCTTCACCGCACTCACTGATTTCTTCTTTCTAGAAAGACGCAGGAAAGTTCAGAATAGTCTCATTTTTTCTAAAGGTCAAAGAATAACTACACTAGTTATAGTAGGAATAATTGTATCGTCCCACGCTCACAAATCCCATTTCCAATTTGCTTGAAAGGATAAAATACTTCAACTGATTTCTAGAGACAAGTAATGGGACTCTTCCAAGGGCTCTGGTTCAGCACTTGCAAGCTCCAGTTAGAAACTAAACTAAGAAAGCGCTGAGTGTTCTCACACAATATTGACAGATACTCAGTGAAGGATGTTACAGACCTAAACCCAAGATATGTGCATGTATTTAGTGTGAACAAGTAACATGTCTTTAAGGGCAAAACACTAGAGGTGGCTACAGCAAAGAAACAGCTGTTTCTAGAACCATGAAGACACATCAGAATTCACCAGCTTTTTCAATGTAGTTCAGGTGTATACACGTCATTTACATTATATTAATCCAATCTGTAACTATTTTCAGCTCAGGGAACTTCCAGAAACAGATACACATCTGTATCTTTAACACTGCATAGATTCTTCTCCCATGAGCTTGTCCAATCTCTCAAACTCAGGAAAGTTTCTTGCATCCATGCCATCTTTTGACAAGGAGTACCTTATTTTTTATTACTCACTGGAAGAACTCCTTCCCTTTGTTTCACCTGGTTACACCAGTAGCTTTGTTTAAAAGCCCATAGCTCTCACACAGGAAAAGACAGTTTACACCATCCGCTCCCGCCAGTCCTGATTTTGTAGAGCTCTTACGTCCTCCTTCAGTTATTTCTTTTGCACTACTCGATTGTTCCTCATATGGAGATCATTCCACATGAACCAACCACCCTTGAAATCTTTCTCTGAACCTTTCCAGTTCTAGTTTTTAAGATGAGAACAAAACTGGACACAGTAATCAAGGTCTGGTCAGAGACAGGATGTATACAGCAACAAAGACATTTTCTGTTTTGCCTTTTTTTTTTTCTGGTAACTCCTAATAATCATGGGGTTTTTCCTCCACTGTTACTGAACACGAACATGATATTTCCATAGTGTGACAGTAACTCTTACTTCTCACTCAAGTGGAAATGATTATTTCACAATCTAGTACTTTCTATAAAAAACAGGATTGTTTTTCTCAGAACCCCGTACATTATGTTTATTTTCACTCGCTATCTTCTTTGTCCACACATGCCATTTCATAAGGCCCTTCTGCAACAGTTTAATCTGCCACCATCCTTACTACCTCGAATAACACAGTGTATATATAATCAGATGACTTAATCACTTCCTTCTTTGCCCACTTTTCCTGGCAGTTAAAGACAGACTTGTGGCATTAACACCAACGATTCATTTCAGACACCCACAAAAAGGCGTTTTCAGCATATTAACTGATATCTGTGGGCAAAAAAAAAAAAAAATCAATACTCAATTCCTTAGCCTTGTACAATTCTCTATAATGTTGTATAAACCCAGTCAGTATCAATAAAAGGTGTGGATCAAAGTAGGAGTCCTCTGAGCAAGGTGAGAAGCCGACAGCTGCTCTGTGATACACGAACCTATTCTCACCTGTCAAACAACAAAGCTTCCTTATTATTATCAAATACCACCACTCTGGTTTTCAGGGTATTACCTGGGTAGGTGTAATGATAGGAACACCGCCAACAATTTCTGTCCTGTAAGAGACTTGCTTCTTTCCACCTGGGCTTTCAGCTTGACGATTTGCATTATCCACGTGACACAGAGGATCAGACTGCTTTGGTACCTGGAAGTAGAATACGGTAATTAACCCAAGTTTTCTGAAGACCAAAAAAAAGCCCTAATCATTACTCAATAATTTTTGTCTTCAAACAAATGTTGTAAAAGGCTAGAAATGGCTTACATGAAAGTTTGTTGCAATGGCTATGCTTTAGGCCTCAGAAGAATTGGTGCCAATAAAGACATTTCACCAGGTTTCTTGAATTCTAAAAATCAATTCCCAGCTTTGCCCCAAGTGCTACACTTGACCTTCAAGAAGAACTCCTAATTTGTAGAACTGGTTCTTTATTTTTCACTTGCTTTCACTTCTAGCAATAAGTGCTTTAGACTGGAGACGCCCCAGTGCCTGCAGAGCTTGTGCAGTAAGGCCATAAACTATCAAACAGGACGCCTGACCATATGACATTTGCACTCACATTCCAATACCTGGCACAAAGACTGTGCGTACTGCCTCCATTAACCCTATATCTATGGCTAAATTCTGTCCAAAATGACCCTAACCACCTATTTCTAACTATCATTAACTGTTAGTTCCACATTTGAGAGAACTATCTAAACCAATCAAAACACCCCAGAAATTGAACTTCCCCAGTAAGTGTTTTGAACTGTTTACTCAAATTTCTGAGTTTGTGCAAGAAATAAACATTTGTAACCTAAGAAGTGCACTAACTGGCTACCTAAGACACTATAAAATCTCCTTTCACCCCTAATATTAATATAGTAAATTTGAAGAGACTTCCACAAGAAGAGATCAAGAGTCTCACACCATCAACCTACTGGATACTGACACAGGACATCCAAATTCCTTCAGAAAGAAGGGTCACAAATTCTCTTTACACAGTGCATTACCACGCAAGACTGGCACAAGCAGAACTTGAAACTGAACTGATCCAGACAGAAACAAAGCTACTTTATAGCCTGCTGCGATTCTAGTTCCTATGCCCAAGACTACTTGTTCTACAAAAAAAACCCAGCCTGCAAAGAAGTACAAACAGTGCCGAGAGCACAAGTGTCAGCCCAGGACAGCTTCCTCCCGGCCAGGTGACAGTGGCACTCAGCAGCTCGCTCAGCTGTGGCGTCCGGCTCGTCCTCTCACTTCCACCGTCCCCTCAGCCTCGCACAACGCCCAGCTTCGCACAGGCACAGGGCGACTCCGTTCACAGCCGCGTCTGGCGCTGAAGGATAAGGCGCTCTCCAGGGCACACGGATCACAGGCCTCAGCCTTGCCAGAGAAGGGGCTTGTAGCTACAGCTTTATGGGTAAGTGCTTCGGCCGCCACAAACTCCTACTGAAAAACGTTACAGACCAAACCCACCACCGCTTTCTCATACGAATGCGTTTTCAATCAGTACTCAAAGAGGTACACAATGTGCTAGACTGCAAAGGCTCATAGTCATTTTGACATTATTAGCACTCAGAGTACTAAAAAACGCAATGAAATTGGAAGAGTACCATCCACAGCAAGTAATGCTCATATGAAAATTAATAATTGAATGATCTTAATTATTTTATTAAGTAATTGGCCATACTAAATACCCTCTGAACAGATTAACAGTTCAAAGGCTTGTTCCTTCAAAGACAAAAATATAATGATTTCACCAGCCATTTAGATACCGGAATTAAAGATATGACAAACAGCTTTCAGACTGAATTCTGATTTGGTGCAATTAATTCTTTATTCACTCTTTCTTGAAATGGAAACAATTCAAGCCTGGTTGTGGTGTGTCCTCCTTATGAAAAACCCAAGTGAGAAGGCTTCATGTTTCTAGTTTTTTATTTATTATTCGTAGTAACATTTTTATAACTCCAAAGGAAGGGACACATCCAAACAATGCACACAGCTCACAGAAACATTCCTAGATAACCTAAAAATGACAATGTTACTGACAACACAAATATGCACATCTATGCTCAGAACCCCTTCTGTGTATGGGTATGCTCAGTTCGTGTCATCAGTTCCCTGAATCTGGAGGGAAAACAAAACCATAACTTCTGCTGCCTGAAAAGACTGAGGTAATACAGGGTTTTTCTATCATGCAATAACAAGCTGTCCTAGTACAAATCAGAAAAGTAACTTAACACTTACCAGAACGCACTAATGTTTCTTTGAATGGATGTTACTTGAAATCAGGAGGGAGCCTTTGGAACATGGCACGTGTTTGCTCATTAGTTTAGTGATACTTTAAGAAATACAGACTTTTGACACCAGGCAAATGTACGTGTAGCTTTTCACTGCTTGCAAGTGTCTTCTGGATAGTTCAATTTTAAATGTGTATGGCTAATTTTAAATTATTAGAAATGACCACATGCCTTAATGAAAAAGATAATCATATTTTTGTCCAATTTCCAAAGCAAAGAGTCAAATGTACTCAAGTTTAGGGGGAGTTCTGTGCAGTTTCTCCATGTCTTGGAAAGCCAAGCCAAGAGTTGTTTGTAGAGATAAGACGACTAATATAGCATAAAAACGGGAGGCAAAGGTTACATTTAAGCACCTTGAGACAGTCACCATTTGAAAGCATTGCTAAATATCAACGCAGCCACTTACTGTGATTTTGGTAGCTTTGTTCAGAACATTTACCCATTCAACTAGGTCCTGCTGATCATTGGCTTGTAGAAAGTATTTTCTCATCCCTGCATTCATAACTGTTAAAAACCATTATGAAAAGTTAACAACACTGAAATTAAAGAGCAAACTTAACACCATCATAAAAAGATTTGATTTCAGATGGAAAATCCAGCTGAATTATTTAAGCTCTCACGATACATACATCCATTTGACAGGCTTGCTTTATTCTAAAACCCCCTTTTTTTCTTTTTAAGCTCTCCACTTAAACAGCATCATATAGAATTTGTTAAATTGTTTTTATTACCTAGAAAAAAGCCTTGAATTTTATCAGAAATTTCTACAGCTCCATTTCCCTTTTCTCAATTTCCCGAAGCAACCAAGTTTTATACTTGGGGACTTCTACAATTTCTTGTTTTAATCATCTGACCAGTATCTGTCATCCTTTGCAACACACTCGTTAATGTGACTATGATCACTGATTTTATTTTATTTTTCCAATTTGTGGAAAAAAAATCGATTTTGATTATTAAGTATATCATGCTCAGAACCAAAGAACTTTAAAATAGCCAGAACATAAAACGTTGTTTTACTTCAGTGACTTGGCAGAGAAAGCTTATTTTTAGTAAGTTTAGATATCTACCTGGCAACACCCAGCGTACCTTTATCCAAAAAGGACAAACCTATTTCTGTGTAACAGTAAAAAAAAAAAAATCACAGCTGGTTTTCTACAAATTTTACGAAATCAGAATTATCTTGAAATTAGTTTTAAGCTGAACAGTGGCTAAAACCTTCCGAGAACTTCGAAGCATTGAAGCTAAAGTCCGAACAGATTTCACTGCTCTACCCACAACATAACAGCACTTCAGGTCATCGCTAGCAACAAACACACGCCAGAAACAACTACTCTTTACTCTTCTATCATCTTTCTCCCCAAAGCGGATGGTTTAATGCAAACATTATGAGATGCAAATATAAATTCAAAATATAGAACTGTACAATGAGTTGACTAAAACAACTGGTATTTAAAAAGAAGACAATAAATGTAAATTTTTCCTCTAAAAAGTATAAAAAATGCTTTAGTAAATCAGAAATATTAAAGACTTTCAGCCAGCATCTTGGATCACTAAGGCTTTTTGGAGCTGACCTACTGACAAGTGCAACTTCACAACCGGTGAAGACAAACACCTCTACAGATGCATGTGCAGAGGAATCTGTAGATGGCACTGAACTGACACACTAGGCACTCGTCTAGAGTCCCTGAAGCCCTGCACACAGGCGTGATCTACCAAGTGGCTCATGAGCTCCAACACAGAGACTGCACAATTCCGGTGGAGTTGCATGTGGCAAAGGACACCTTAACTGTCACAAAACCTTCAGGCATTTTCGGTCCCTTCAGCTGAGCCAACACTCTTACAGGAACGCAGCCATAAAGAACGGTTATCCATAAACAGAACAGAGGCCAATTCCAGTCTCTACACATACTTTTGTGAATGCCAATTACTTGTCAAAAATATCTGGAATTATGGTAAATTCTGGACAAATTACTTATAACAAAAATCTAAAAAAGACCACGAGGGGCTTTTATGATTATCTAAAGTTTTTCTTAAGTTTAAACAAGTTTAAGTACCAATAAACCTAGAAGGTACCCCAAGCAAATTCTTTTTCTTCAGTGCAACAATAGAGGCCGAAACTTAACCTAAAAGCATTGACTCACCATATTTTTAGATCGGTAATATGGATTAAAATAGTTAAATTACTTGTCTTCATAGCTGACAGGCATGCCATGTTTCTGAAAACACCCATCATTTTTTATTAATGCCTCAAAAATTTCAAACATCTGAAAAACAGCTCTCACCTACTCCTCATTAAGCTGCAATATGAAAAGCCACAAAAACACCTTATAAAGAAGCCAACATTTCCTTCACAATAAAGAAGAAACACTCAATATAATTTGTTTTTAAAGAGTACCCTACCAGCTGTATCTAGTAACACAATTGCAGAACACTTATCTTTGTTCCAAATTTCTGAGGAATGTACTTGACACACATGCCACATACAAGAACTTACCAAAACAGAATTCTGCCTTTGGCCTTAGCTTAGTTGCATCGCTAACCTAGTAAGGAAATTAAGATTATAAATATCACTGTGCACACAAAATATACATCAGATACCACCATTATTTTTTTTCCTCTTTCAAGTGGCTAAATTTGAAGACCAGCAGCAAGCTTGTTAGGAATAAAGATATACAGATGCAACAAAAAATACTATACAAAATTCAGTTCAAGATGTGCAACCTATAATTAGGACAGATTAAACCATATGTTCCTATTCCTTAAGTTTAAGTATTCATTACCAGATAAATGTCGAAACCTGAAGACATAACACTTCTACTTGCATTTTGAAGTTCTATGACTCAACTGAACTAAAAATTCAAGGACATTTCATCCCGTCAAGGGCATCAGTTGTATTTTGGTTCGTTAACAAAAAGAATAATAGCCACTTTTCTTCAGGAGTCTACAACATCGCAGGGCTGGGGAAGGAAAGAAGCGGGTGCCCTGTTTTGAGAGGCGTTGACATTTTTACATTACAGAGCACTTCCATCACGGGTGGGGGAGAAAGCAAAGCAGTCTCCCACATCAACACCTTTTTTTTTGGCCACACATCCTATGCAACTAGAAGAACTACGGCAAGTTAGAGAGAGCATCCGCACAGGAGGCACACTTGAGCTGCCTTCAAAGGAACACACACACAGGTGCAAAGGCACAGGTGACCACCCCTGCTTCCACTAAAAGTGAGACACAAGATTTCAGATTTCTCAAGATGACAGCTGTCAGGTTTGGGACAAAGTAAGCACAGGAGGAGGAAACCAAGAAGGACATGAGCAGGTCTGCAGACATTTCTGTACTCATGATATAACCGTATCTTTTACAAGAATAAAGAGCACAAAACCAAGGAAGGTGAGAAGATGCAGTATGACAACAAGAAAAGCAAAGGAAGGATGAGAAACGAGCAGAAAGACAAGAGAAGGTAAATTATTTTTCTCCACTTACTTGTTAATGCAGTATCTGCTACAAATTTAACCACAGAGTTTCTTGGTTCACAGTTTTCTTTCAGACATATTTGGAAGTGAGCGTATACAAAGTGTAATGGCCTACGTATTTTCTAGAAATTTTTCTGTTCTAGCTGCTAAAGATCATTATTACTTGCAAACTATCACACCCAAAGACTTATCTTCCACTAGGTAAGTGGCCTGTCTTTTCTCCAAGACTAATTGGAATTCAAATACTCCTAAAGAACTGAAACATACAGTTCAAAAATATTAATTCTATGCAGCACAAAGACCTGCCATTTGAAATCACAAAACAAATCTAAACAACACAGTAATTAATCTGTTCTTATTTCAACTTGACACTATTGAAGTGTTTGTAACACTTTTCCAAAACTCAGGAGTAGCACACAAGCAACAAGCTTCCCCTGTGCTACCCAAGAGGCATTTAAAACTGTCTAAAGTTGAGGCCTTCAGAAGAGGCTCTTGGTAGTTATCACCAAAAACTTAGCAATGTCTTAAACATGATCTTACCTTTGAAATATAGGTAAGTTTAATGACTCCAACGGGTGGAGATCCAGAGGGAAGATTCTGAAACAAATCACATTACAAAGTGAAAATAGTTTATTCCCCTAACACAGTCAGTGTTCACACATAGAAAGCAATTCCACAAACAAACAGAAAATCCTACCTGTTTTTATAGACAATACACAATGTACGCTCGAAACAGGACCTAAACTACTTGTTTATTATACACACATCTGCTAATCAACTAAAACCAGAAAGACTCCTAGTAACAATACAAATAGTAATTGTTTCAGAGGCGTACACATTTTACTAGAGGAAAAAGGATTCTTGTGGGTCTGCATCCAGGAAATCCGGAAAGAATACTTTTTCCTTAACAGATGTTGGCGTCTTATGTATTTCGAGCAGGGCAGGCGGAAGGGACAAGAAGTGACATGCATTTATTATGTCAGATACTTCAAAGGCCATCTAACATACGTTCCAAAACAGACTGAAAAATCATAGTCTTATCATTTAATGTTAAAGTTATTGCAGGGAAAGACCATGATACTTCCTAATCTTGCAGTTAAGCCTACGTATATTTGCAATCCGAAAAGGAGCTGCCTGTGGTTTTTGCATCCTTGCTTAACATGCTGGTCTTAACGCTCACATTGCTACTCACAACCAGCTAGTAGCCTAGAAATAACAGCACTTAAAGATCTGAGCATCACAAAACATGGTTAACTTATTAACTGTTTCTGACGAAAGTCTTTCTAATTTTATTCCTCCAAATAGAGCATCGTTTTCCATACACTCTTCTCCATTACAATTTTTACTTTAAAACTATGTTTTATGTTTATGCCCTTTATGTTACAGCATCACTCTTCCCACTACAGGCCTCCCTGGAAACCACAAGAATGGTACTGCATCTGCTCGATGATCCTTTCCCCAGCTGAAGTGCTCTTCATTGCTCTGTGGTGCCCCATGAACTTCTGCGTCACAAAGAGGAGCCTAATGCTACCCCCAGAGTCAGGCAGACAGACAAATAATTTGTTTATACTCCATTCCTATGTCAAAGGTAAGAAGTAGGTTAAGTTCAGTGTTCCCAGCCTATAGTGAAATTTAAAAAAAGTCTTCCCATTCCGCCCAAATAAATTTAAGTTTTACTTTATCAGAATGGTTTTGATCCCAGCATACACCAGTTCCATAATCTTTATATTAGGACAATAATGTGTGATTAATGGTGGATGTAAAAACATCGTTTCTTTGAACAGATGAACTGATTTTCACAGATACAGCTAGAGCACTTCAATCAGCAAAAAAGGGCCCAGTGAAGTTCTGCACACACCATAGACTCATCCTGTATGAAGAGTTTCACCACTTCAAGGATTAAGAATGGTCTCCACATAGTGGCTCTGTAAAATCTCTGTTGTTCTTCAAACTAAAGCAGTGGAAGTAAATCAAGAAGCTTCAGCTTGCCTCTTGCAAGGCACCTTTTCATTTGTACACAAATGCTAACACTAAAAAAAACCCCAAACAAGGAAAGCTTAAACTAAAAACCCTAGGAGGTGTGCATTGCAAACATCATTAGTCTCAAAACTTCCGAAGAATTGCAATTTGTACAGCATTTCATGGTTTTGCCCACGTGCCCTGGTTATATCATGGAGAAACTGAGAAAAAGAATTGCTTTGTATCAGTCATTGAGATCAAACATTTGGAGTCTCTCTTATTTCCAGAAATTTCTTTTCTCTCCTCAGGAAGAACTGCTAAATGCTTCAGTCCCAGGTCACATGCATCGAGCTGCACATTGTTTAATGTTATTTTCTTCCGTCGGTTCCTCTGAACAGTAGATTTTCTACTGCATTTTAACTCCAGTCTTCCTGGCAGAACGGTACATGAAGATTCTTCTGGCAAGCAGTTGTCAGCTGACCTAGATCCTACGCTTTCACTGTCTCTGTACCCAAATCCTGAGCAATGATCTGTTCTCTCCTATGCTAGAGAACACACTGATGCGTGTACGTTGTAAAAGCAGCTTTTATAGAAAAGATGCTCTCCATGACGGATACAAGCTTTCCTCATTCCTATCCCATTCATGCTGTACTGGAATTGCCAGCATCGTTACAAATTACCTCGACAGAATCAGTCATTGAGAAGCACAGCAATACGAAACAGCTAACTGACCCATGCAATGCAAGGAAAACCACGTACTTCCACACGGGGTTAAAGGTGAATTAAAAGACCTGAAACAATGAAACCAGTACGTGATTCGGCTCATCTGGTTATATTATAGAGCACTACCTGGTGCCTGCCAGAACCTGCAACGCACGTTCAAGACACTTGACAGGAAACAATAAATAGAGCACACCATGATTCAGAACGAAGAACTGATTTACATGTGGTATCAAATTCAGATTCCTGTCTCATCCTCAAGTCTGCCAATACTTAGATTCCATATATCGGTAATTCACTGACGTTTGAGTTATTTTTAATGGTTTACTACTAGCTGCAATTCATAATGTTTTAAGTAGAAATATCAATTCTATTTTTTCTTTAAAATATCGCACGTATTAGCAAAGAAGAGACACTGATTCACAGTGATCTCACATGCGTAACTCCCCCCCTCCCCCGCCAGCTTCCAGGTCCATAAACTAATATCAAACCTCATTTTTCTTAAGTAAATTTGTTAAAGATTTGAAAACATTTAAATTGATAGAAGCCAGATAACTATTGCCAGGAACATCTCACCTGTGGGTTATCCATGTACCACACCAGACTATCTTCTCGTGTGTCCAGAATGAAGTACCGCCGCAGAAATTTTCCACTATTCTCATTTTCTTCAATATCTAGGAAGCCACAAATGCGATTCTGACGATCCACATAAGGCATTTCTGACTCTGAACATCACACTGCAGAACAGAAAGCATAGAAGGTAAGCAAAGTTCCTCTTTACTAATTTTAAGACTGTGTCTGTGCCTACCCATGACATTTTGAGCCGTTTCAACTAGTGGCTTAAAGAAGTTTCTACAGAAGACTAAGTGAAGCGTAGCTGCTTCCCCCCACTACCACGGCTGAACTTTTAGATAGGTCTTTCTTTCTTCTTTGGAGCGTACACATAGGGTACACTTCAGATGTCCAATACCCTAAGTGCAAAGATACGAGTGGTAAAGAGAAGATGAGCATCAAGACTAGTTTATACAAAATCACTGAAGAATAATCAAAGATTCTCTTTCACAACTTGTACAAAGTTGAGATAATGCTAGGTTTACACTTCCTTCTTTGACATTGCCTTTCATGGTCAAGAAACGATCTTTGTCAGCAGCCCTACTGTTCAACGTTATTTTTCATATTTTCCTTGGGCAAATTCAGCAAAAAGGCTTTTAGAAACATGGTGCACATTTTTCTTTCCTCCTACAAAAATAATTTAATGTCTAACAGTGTCCAAGAACAGACATCTTCTCACCCTTATACATCAAATAGCCAAAATGAAGTTGTGTGTGCAGCCACAGAGATGTGAACGCACTTGCTAGTCCAAACCTGAAATCCTCAATATCCACATGGTGCTAAGTTTGAAGGTGGTAGGCTTTTTTTTTATTTATTTTGGGGTGGGGGTGTCTGTGTGCCTTTTTTTGTTTCGCTTAAAAAAATTTAAAAAAATAACAATCTGTACTGCTGACCACCTATTGCCATTTTGCCTGCTTCACCTTTTATGGCTCTGTCTTACTGCAGCCTATTGCATCATTTTTTTTGGCTTCCTTTTATTTGACAGGACAGGCATTTCACCTTACGAGCGAGCCTTGTAAGACCAAAGATGAATTTGCATACTCATCTAAAAATGGCAATAAACCAGCGCTTAAATATGATAAAAATCAGGTCAATGCCAATCTTTCCCAGAGCAGGAAAGAAACAACGCTGTCTTTGTTACAAAACTCAGAAATAGTACATATCTAAAAATATTAACGTGAGACATAGAAGGTTTAAGCACTTCACACTTTTCATAACATCTTCCAGCTTTCGCTGTATAATATAGAAATTTCTTTTTAATATTTATTGTAACTGTTTAGCTTTACTATTTCCTTACTTAAAGCTATTTGATTTAAATATAGTTATGAACACCTACAATGAGGCAGACACCTGGTAAGGATCTATATCTAGCTATTGATACACCACAGCAAAACATGATACACCAGTAAGCACATTCTAAAGTGTACTTTGAGGAATCAGATATACAGATAAGCACACATTTATTTGAGGGGATCAGATATACAACATGTAGATATATGCTTGTATTTACAGCTGTCACTTTATATGACTAATTAGAATACCAGACAACTTTTTCTTCAACCACTTTGAGAAAATTTAAAAAAAAAAATACTATTGTCATGATTCCAATACCATACTAGAAGAATTTCTAGTAAACAGTATTAAGTCATTTAACTCAGTCTGTAAAAGAACCTTTTTTGTCCTCAACAGCAAACTAATCCTCTGGTGTGAACTCAAAGTCTGATGCATTTAAGTTTGGCATCAGGGATCAGGTCTAACAATCTCAATCCAGCAGTACTTGCAAAAAGTTGAAGGGATTGCAAGAGCATAGTGATGGCAGACTATCAAAAACCGTAGTGATTTGGGTTTTTTGATATAAGCTATTAAATTCTAATGTTTACTGTATTTGTGTACAACAAAGTTAATGCACTTTTGTTTGAGATTCAAGACATTTTCCCTATAGCTACAACGCCATCAAATGCGTATAAGCCTTCCATTAAGCACTACACTTTTTTGCTTCTCTTCCTACCTCCAAAAGGTAAAAGAGCCTCCATATTTAAGGTCTGCCACAACAGTTTAAGTCTTCAAATGCATACATCTGTTCTTCAATAAAGTCACAAAATTTACTACGGTAATTAAATTTCTCTCAATTCCTCATAATTTAAATATCACATATCTAAGCCAAGTTCTGTAACCAAGTTGTAGTCATAAGGAACAGCAAAAACACTTGAGCACTCTGAAGACAATGTCATAATCGTAATGAACACACATCAGTAACTCACACGCTGGCTCTTGGGAGCACTTTACACTGAAACAACATCTCCCTATAAACACATCTGTAGCTAGGGGCAAGCTTCAGGGTAGCTGGTCTCTAAATTATACCTCTAAGCTGGCAGAACTTGGCATCACACATTGCTTTCATTTAAGTGAATATAAAAGTTGTCATTTACCAGTATTGTCCTAAGGTGTGCCAGGTGGTCCCTCAACAAAACACACAGCACTTCCAGGACACCATTTCGGCTTAATACCAACAGTTTATGAAGCCCAGAAAAGCCTTGTGCCTAAAAAAAGGCAAATATTGGTGGCTGGTTTCCTGTTTGAGCAGGCTTAAGCTGTGTTCGCTGCAGATGTGAAGAAAACGAAACAAGGAAAACTTGTTTTTGAAACAAGACACAAATTGATTAAGAATCCTTGAATAAAACCAACTGAACTTTCAAAGCGCTTTTCGCCTATAGAAGAATCTATGTTTCAGAAAGCCTTTTAAGAAAAATGAAAGGAGGATACTCATAATGCTCCATTATGAGCATACAATTAGCTAAAGTTGAACTACTCCAATACTTCTTTTTTTTTTCCCCAGGGCAAAAGACAAAATTCAGCAGCTTTCTCTTATTTGTCAGTAAGCCAGTTTTCACAGAAAAAACATCCTGAATTCATACAGATTTTCTAACTACTACTAGCTAATTCCTAGCCTACAAAGTGATACTATTTGCAGTTCAATCGTCCTCTAACAAAAAACCAGGATAAACTCTCATGAATTAAAACACTTAAGTTGTATAACTGCTGTTTTCTTCAGATTAGTTCAAAGTTCCTTACAAGATTACTGACATCTACCAGACCGACACTCTAAAAGAAGGAGATTAAAAATACCCCTCTAACTTTATTATAAAACTGGAATCTAACAAAATCATGCAATTGTTTTCCAGTTTTAAAAGTCTGCTTCCACCATATTATGCCTTGGCAAGATTCCACTGTAAATTAATACCAATTCTATTCAGCGTTCATTAATGAACCACAATTTGTAGTGCACATTAAAAAAAAATAAATCAATTTGTGCCTTTCTTCCAGTTACTACAGCAATTGAACACACATGACAAAACCACCACCACAACACCCTTCCTGGCAACTCCAGACAGACGAAAAAAAGCAACAGTGATGAAATTACCACATTACTGCTAAAGATTCATTAAAAAATTGCAGAACTCCAGCATTAATTCCTCAGTGTAGGAAAGCTGGCTGGAAGACCACCAGCCTAACAATTCACTAGAACTTCAACTTAACAGTGTCTTCAGAATACAGATCCTGTCTTAGATACGATTTATTTTACATTAAATTATTATTCCAGGTGATCAAAAATCTGCAAGCCTGTGTGCATTTTACAGCTCTTATTACAGCCACACTTAGTTATTCTCTGCAGCCGAATCTGCAGCACAGAACAGCGTAATAACTCCTCTTTTGGAATCAAGTATTATAAAAAGATTATGAGCTCTTAAGAGAGAAAAGCCGAAGGCATCAAACCTGTTAACAGAATACATAGAACTTCATTTGATTCTGCCTTCCCTCCCTGGAGGGTGGGGGGCCAGGGAGGGAGGAGACACGTGTCGAACACACAGTGCTACTTCAGAAAAAATATCCCTGTGGCTCATTTCCTCTTGGTGCTCGCCGTAATTCACCAGAAGCTAAAATACTTTTGAAAACCCATTTTGTGGTGTATATATTGACACTTACATGCAAAAATTCAGAAACCTATGAGCTCCTTGAAATTCCTTCTTGGAATTATTGTGTCCTAATCCAACAGGTGGTCTCGCTTATTTTTGAAGCCTTACATCCCTCCTTCCAGCGGCAGTGTACTAATTTAAGTAGGTACGTACCTCATCAGCCCAGTTTCTCTCAGGTTTCTCCTCTCACCACACTCTTCCTGTGAGGTACACCATATACCAACATTCCTCAACATTTATATCACAAACTGAAGGCTGCCTGGCCTCCTGGGCACCACTATAAATAAAAATGACAGATCACCTTCTCCCAGTCTGTAACTGTAAGCGCATGACTGCACAAGCAGAACCTGCAGAGGCGCACAAGCATCTCGGTTTTACCATTTATAACAGACTGCTTAAACTCTCCTACATTAATTTCTATTTTTAGTTGCACACCAGCACCTGCTCTTCAGTTCACCTCCTTTACAGTCTGGCTGCAGCCTCCACAAGTACAACGTCCGTACGAGACTATTAAAGCGGCATGCAAGGTAACAGTTCTATGGCCCAATCTCTCCTTTGACAGCTAATGCCTGATTTCCACAAGTAGGCACAAAGCATGGACCGCTGGCTTACTGGAGAAAGTGGAACTTTGTATGAATAAAGAGATCGTGCAATAGGCTTTGCACTATCCACAAGAAAGCATAAGAAATACAGCAAGATGAGCACGGCTCCTTAATACCTTTTAGTTTTATTTCACAGGTGCTTTCCTCCAGCTTTGTGTTAATTTTATTGTTGTTTTTATTTCTTTAATTTAGAGTGACACTTCTACTTCCTGCTCTATTAGTGTATGGACATTTTGAACTTTGGATTTAACTTACCACAGGGTTCATTCTCTATTAGCCAAGAAGATTAAGAAACACACATTACCTACTTACTCATCTCTATGAAATGATGAACAACATCCATAAAACTACACGATAAATACAAAATGATGCCGTGAGTCATGCCGATCCCTCCTCCCCACCCCCCTTTTTAGGCTCTATTGACACTAGCTCCATCACCACAAAGAGAAGGTAAAGCAGCATCCCCAGCAATCTCCAGTCCTTCCTGCAGTTCCAGGGACAGCTTAATTATTGAGTGCTCTTGGCTTTTGCCTAGGCAATTAC